ATGACTGAAGCTAATGGTGTTGTTGTGTCCTTAGTGTCATTATAGAGAACATGACTGAAGCTAATGGAGAACATGACTGAAGCTAATGGTGTTGTTGTCCTTAGTGTCATTATAGAGAACATGACTGAAGCTAATGGTGTTGTTGTGTCCTTAGTGTCATTATAGAGAACATGACTGAAGCTAATGGTGCTGTTGTGTCCTTAGTGTCATTATAGAGAACATGACTGAAGCTAATGGTGTTGTTGTGTCATTATAGAGAACATGACTGAAGCTAATAGTGTTGTTGTGTCCTTAGTGTCATTATAGAGAACATGACTGAAGCTAGTGGTGTTGTTGTGTCCTTAGTGTCATTATAGAGAACATGACTGAAGCTAATGGTGTTGTTGTGTCATTAGTGTCATTATAGAGAACATGACTGAAGCTAATGGTGTTGTTGTGTCCTTAGTGTCATTATAGAGAACATGACTGAAGCTAATGGTGTTGTTGTGTCCCCAGTGTCATTATAGAGAACATGACTGAAGCTAATGGTGTTGTTGTGTCCCCAGTGTCATTATAGAGAACATGACTGAAGCTAATAGTGTTGTTGTGTCCTTAGTGTCATTATAGAGAACATGACTGAAGCTAATGGTGTTGTTGTGTCCTTAGTGTCATTATAGAGAACATGACTGAAGCTAATGGTGTTGTTGTGTCCCAGTGTCATTATAGAGAACATGACTGAAGCTAATGGTGTTGCTGTGTCCTTAGTGTCATTATAGAGAACATGACTGAAGCTAATGGTGTTGTTGTGTCCTTAGTGTCATTATAGAGAACATGACTGAAGCTAATGGTGTTGTTGTGTCCTTATAGAGAACATGACTGAAGCTAATGGTGTTGTTGTGTCCCCAGTGTCATTATAGAGAACATGACTGAAGCTAATGGTGTTGTTGTGTCCTTAGTGTCATTATAGAGAACATGACTGAAGCTAATGGTGTTGTTGTGTCATTATAGAGAACATGACTGAAGCTAATGGTGTTGTTGTGTCCCCAGTGTCATTATAGAGAACATGACTGAAGCTAATGGTGTTGTTGTGTCCTTAGTGTCATTATAGAGAACATGACTGAAGCTAATAGTGTTGTTGTGTCCTTAGTGTCATTATAGAGAACATGACTGAAGCTAATGGTGTTGTTGTGTCCCCAGTGTCATTATAGAGAACATGACTGAAGCTAATGGTGATGTTGTGTCCTTAGTGTCATTATAGAGAACATGACTGAAGCTAATGGTGTTGTGTATCCCCAGTGTCATTATAGAGAAACATGACTGAAGCTAATGGTGTTGTTGTGTCCTTAGTGTCATTATAGAGAACATGACTGAAGCTAATGGTGTTGTTGTGTCCTTAGTGTCATTATAGAGAACATGACTGAAGCTAATGGTGATGTTGTGTCCACAGTGTCATTATAGAGAACATGACTGAAGCTAATGGTGTTGTTGTGTCCCCAGTGTCATTATAGAGAACATGACTGAAGCTAATGGTGTTGTTGTGTCCTTAGTGTCATTATAGAGAACATGACTGAAGCTAATGGTGTTGTTGTGTCCTTAGTGTCATTATAGAGAACATGACTGAAGCTAATAGTGTTGTTGTGTCCTTAGTGTCATTATAGAGAACATGACTGAAGCTAATGGTGTTGTTTGTGTCCTTAGGTGTCATTATAGAGAACATGACTGAAGCTAATGGTGTTGTTGTGTCCTTAGTGTCATTATAGAGAACATGACTGAAGCTAATGGTGTTGTTGTGTCCCCAGTGTCATTATAGAGAACATGACTGAAGCTAATGGTGTTGTTGTGTCCCCAGTGTCATTATAGAGAACATGACTGAAGCTAATGGTGTTGTTGTGTCCTTAGTGTCATTATAGAGAACATGACTGAAGCTAATAGTGTTGTTGTGTCCTTAGTGTCATTATAGAGAACATGACTGAAGCTAATGGTGTTGTTGTGTCCTTAGTGTCATTATAGAGAACATGACTGAAGCTAATGGTGTTGTTGTGTCCCCAGTGTCATTATAGAGAACATGACTGAAGCTAATGGTGTTGTTGTGTCATTAGTGTCATTATAGAGACATGACTGAAGCCTAATGGTGTTTGTTGTGTCCTTAGTGTCATTATAAGAACATGACTGAAGCTAATCGTGTTGTTTTGTCCTTAGTGTCATTATAGAGAACCATGACTGAAGCTATGGTGATGTTGTGTCCCAGTGTCATTATAGGAACATGACTGAAGCTAATAGTGTTGTTGTGGTCCTTAGTGGTCATTATAGAGAACATGACTGAAGCTAATGGTTTGTTGTGTCCAGTGTCATTATAGAGAACATGACTGAAGCTAATGGTGTTGTTGTGTCCTTAGTGTCATTATAGAGAACATGACTGAAGCTAATGGTGTTGTTGTGTCCCCAGTGTCATTATAGAGAACATGACTGAAGCTAATGGTGTTGTTGTGTCCTTAGTGTCATTATAGAGAACATGACTGAAGCTAATGGTGTTGTTGTGTCCTTAGTGTCATTTATAGAGAACATGACTGAAGCTAATGGTGTTGTTGTGTCCCTAGAGTGTCATTATAGAGAACATGACTGAAGCTAATAGTGTGTTGTGTCCCAGTGTCATTATAGAGAACATGACTGAAGCTAATGGTGTTGTTGTGTCCTTAGTGTCATTATAGAGAACATGACTGAAGCTAATGGTGTTGTTGTGTCCTTAGTGTCATTATAGAGAACATGACTGAAGCTAGATGGTGTTTGTTGTGTCCTTAGTGTCATTATAGAGAACATGACTGAAGCTAATGGTGCTGTTGTGTCCTTAGTGTCATTATAGAGAACATGACTGAAGCTAATGGTGTTGTTGTGTCATTATAGAGAACATGACTGAAGCTAATGGTTGTTGTGTCTAGCATTATAGAGAACATGACTGAAGCTAATGGTTGTGTTGTGTCCTTAGTGTCATTATAGAGAACATGATAAAGTATTCTTCTTTTAACCCCACACCCCCCAAATTGTAAAGTGGTTTCCCATGGCTATAGGAGAACGCACCAATTGTGGTCGTTGTGCTATAGCGTCTTGCTAATGACGTTAATGTGCCCTTGAGCAAGGCACTTAACCCTAATTGCTCCTGTAAGTCGCTCTGGATAAGAGCGTCTGCTAAATGACTAAAATGTAAAATGTAAAATGTAATGACTGAAGCTAATGGTGTTGTTGTGTCCCCAGTGTCATTATAGAGAACATGACTGAAGCTAATGGTGTTGTTGTGTCCTTAGTGTCATTATAGAGAACATGACTGAAGCTAATGGTGTTGTTGTGTCCCCAGTGTCATTATAGAGAACATGACTGAAGCTAATGGTGTTGTTGTGTCCTTAGTGTCATTATAGAGAACATGACTGAAGCTAATGGTGTTGTTGTGTCCCCAGTGTCATTATAGAGAACATGACTGAAGCTAATGGTGTTGTTGTGTCCTTAGTGTCATTATAGAGAACATGACTGAAGCTAGTGGTGTAAATGTGTCCCCAGTGTCTGGCACCACTGAAGCTTCAAGAGACAGTTTTCACAGAGCATAGTAATAATTCACAGTACTGCATGGCAGTAATGAAGCCCTCTCACAATCTATTCTCTTTTCCTACTGAAACGGAGACTTAATCCAACACGTTATTGGAGCCATGTGTTTATGAATAGCTGTCCATGCTCCAGGCTGTTCAGTAAATAACCATCGAGTGGAACGTTTGGAGACCAAAGGCATCTTGATTGCAAACAGACGCTCCATGACCGCAACAAGCTGTTTTTTTACATTTCCATGTAGCAGATGCTCTTATCCAGAGCCACAGCAGTGAGTTCCTACTGGTCACAACCCCGGCGTTGCAAGCACCATGCTCTACCGACCGAGCCACACAGGATCCTAGCTGTTCCTTTCACCAGGCCCTTTAGACTGGCTGGCTGGCTAGCTGGCTGGCTGGCTGGCTGGCTGGCTGTCCAGGCCTGGTGATGAGTCAATGGGAAAGGCAGAGACAGGAAGACCCAGGCCTGGTGATGAGTCAATGGGAAAGGCAGAGACAGGAAGACCCAGGCCTGGTGATGAGTCAGTGGGGCAGGTAGAGACAGGAAGACCCAGGCCTGGTGATGAGTCAATGGGAAAGGCAGAGACAGGAAGACCCAGGCCTGGTGATGAGTCAATGGGAAAGGCAGAGACAGGAAGACCCAGGCCTGGTGATGAGTCAGTGGGGCAGGTAGAGACAGGAAGACCCAGGCCTGGTGATGAGTCAATGGGGAAAGGCAGAGACAGGAAGACCCAGGCTGGTGGATGAGTCAATGGGAAAGGCAGAGACAGGAAGACCCCAGGCCTGGTGATGAGTCAATGGGAAAGGCAGAGACAGGAAGACCCAGGCCTGGTGATGAGTCAATGGGAAAGGCAGAGACAGGAAGACCCAGGCCTGGTGATGAGTCAGTGGGGCAGGTAGAGACAGGAAGACCCAGGCCTGGTGATGAGTCAATGGGAAAGGAAGAGACAGGAAGACCCAGGCCTGGTGATGAGTCAATGGGAAAGGCAGAGACAGGAAGACCCAGGCCTGGTGATGAGTCAATGGGAAAGGCAGAGACAGGAAGACCCAGGCCTGGTGATGAGTCAATGGGAAAGGCAGAGACAGGAAGACCCAGGCCTGGTGATGAGTCAGTGGGGCAGGCAAAGTAAGAAAGACCCAGGCTTCATGATGACTCAGGGCCTGTTGGGAGGATAGTCAGGTCTGGACCCTAATCCAACCAGAGCGGAGAGTGGTATCTGAGCAACAGTGTTTCCCCATTATGAACTGAATGTAGTCTGGAGACATAACAACGTCTCCATATAAATATATTGACCTTTATTGGAAGGGTCCAGAGTTTTTCCTGACCAGGAAAAACATCTCTCGATCACAACAACTGTCATCATCAGACCAGTCCAGGGTTGGCTCAGCCAGCTTCTAATGCTGTTGTTGACTAGAGCCTGGGCCTAACCAGAGGCAGATGGTTTTAACTCTGAAAGAGGCCATGGAACCAGTCCACCAGAAGAACATCTTGTCTTCAACGGGCTGGACATTAGGAGGGCTGACCAGATCCCAGTGAGATGGTGCTGGTTGTTTTCCCAGCTTCCCAGTGAGATGGTGCTGGTTGTTCTCCCAGCTTCCCAGTGAGATGGTGCTCGTTGTTTTCCCAGCTTCCCAGTGAGATGGTGCTCGTTGTTCTCCCAGCTTCCCAGTGAGATGGTGCTGGTTGTTCTCCCAGCTTCCCAGTGAGATGGTGCTGGTTGTTCTCCCAGCTTCCCAGTGAGATGGTGCTGGTTGTTCTCCCAGCTTTCCCAGTGAGATGTTGCTGGTTGTTCTCCCAGCTTCCCAGTGAGATGGTGCTGGTTGTTCTCCAAGCTTACTGATACTGATCAGGGTGAAGGGTTGTTTGTAAATGATAGCAGGAGGACGTGCTGTGTTAACATCATGTCTTAAACCATGTTTGTTTGTTTGGCAGCCAGTTGGGCTGTGCTCTGTAAAACGCTATGACCAGTCACAGGGTGAATTCTGTTTAATGTTTGACTGTGTCTTACCTGTAGTAGGTTGAAGGCTTTGAACAGAGCGGGGACAGGGGAGCACCTCCGGCAGTCCACCAGGACTGTCAACCCTAGGGAACGCACCTCCTTCCTGTAACACACAGGATATGACATCAGAGACAGAGACTCGACCCACAACAGAACGCTCTTCAAGCTATCAGTACCATAGTGCCAGGGAGAAAGAAAACCCATCAGGAGTTGTAGGCTACACCCCTCACATTTACATTTTAGCAGACGCTCTTATCCAGAGCGACTTACCACAATTAGGGTTAAGTGCCTTGCTCAAGGGCACATCGACAGATTTTTCACCTAGTCGGCTCGGGGATTAGAACCAGCGACCTTTCGGTTACTGGCACAACGCCCTTAACCACTAAGCTACCTGCCGTCTCACAGAGTGTGATGCTGTACCTTACAATTGATGGATTGGATTGATTGCTGTGTGTGTTAGTGTGACTGTGTGAGTGAGGGTTTCGGTTAGCCTGTAATTTCTGGCTTTTCGCGATTTAAAAAATGAAACGACGATAATTCAAATGATTGCCGGCCTCGGGGATTAGAAACCAGCGACCTTCGGTTACTGGCACAACGCCCTTAACCACTAAGCTACCTGCCGTCTCACAGAGTGTGATGCTGTACCTTACAATTGATGGATTGGATTGATTGCTGTGTGTGTTAGTGTGAGTGAGTGAGTGACTGTGTGAGTGAGTGAGTGACTGTGTGAGTGAGTGAGTGAGTGAGTGAGTGAGTATATGTGTGTGTCAGGGTTTCGGTTAGCCTGTAATTTCTGGCTTTTCGCGATAAAAAAAATGAAACGACGATAATTAAAATTATTGCCGGCCAAATTGACCGGGAGAAAAATGAATCCCATCGCAAAATATAGCTTTTTTATTAATACGTGGAAATACATTTGCCCATCATGCTTATCAGTCTACAGCTTCATTTGCATAATTGAGTGGGAACTAAATAGCCAAAATCCCACCGTTGAAACGTGGAGGCAATTATTTTATAAAGACTTCCTCATATGCCTTTGAAATCAGCATTTCTCTCCTGTTCTATTGGTTTTCATATCAACTTTCTTTCGTTGTCCAGAAGCCAAATTCACAATCCTAGTCATTTTATCCACCCCATCCTAGTTGTTGCATCTTTAGATTCCCCCCCATCTTCCTTAGTTTCTAACAGAGATTTTCATCTCTGTCACATATGGAACCGCTCACATCAGGTGCGCAGTTTAGAATGGTGCTTTCCAGCAAAATTAACATTTTGGCAAATGTTTGAAAAAAAAATCATTTTTTACTGTCTGCTTCATTACAGGAGTTGCATGTTCTGTTGAGATGAATGACCAATGATCTAAAGGTGATTTCTGTCATTCTGAGCACCGTGGGTGCATATGGGGGCCGGTAGATTCCTCAAATGGCCGGTAAATTAAAATCTTCCCGTTCACGTTGTCCGGCGCCACATTATCCTGACGGTAACCCCGGTGACGGTGTAACAGTACCTGAGTACGGTGCAATAGTAGGTCAGGATTCGGACCAGTTCTCCAGAGTTACAGTTGGGATCCAACCAGATGGTGTTCCTGGTGGTCACGGTCACCAGGGCTCGACCGCCTTTATCTCTTGTTCCTGAGACATAACACACCAACAAGACGTCTATCAATCAAAAACACAATCACTGAATTCAGACAACGTCATGTAGTATGCGGCAGTAAGTGGTTTCAGATCAATGGAAACGTGTTTTACTAGTGTTGTGACACAGCCAGTCACGTCAAGACGGAATCCCCATTACCGCCTCAAACAAGCCTTGTTGGAAATGAAATATAAAAGCTTGTGTGTTTCCAGAGATGTGGGCTGCTCTACTCACCAGGCAGACAGAGCACCCCAGAGCTGAGTACAGCGGCATTGATGTTGTGGGCCTCTGTCAGTATCTGGGACCTAGGAAAGACTGAAGACTGGGAGTAGGACCTGGTTAGCCGGGCTGGGGACTGGGTTAGCTGGGCTGGGGACTGGGTTAGCTGGGCTGGGGACTGGGTTAACTGGCCTGGGGACTGGGTTAACTGGGCTGGGGACTGGGTTAACTGGGCTGGGGACTGGGTTAACTGGGCTGGGGACTGGGTTTGCTGGGCTGGGGACTGGGTTAGCTGGGCTGGGGACTGGGTTAGCTGGGCTGGGGACTGGGTTAACTGGGCTGGGGACTGGGTTAACTGGGCTGGGGACTGGGTTTGCTGGGCTGGGGACTGGGTTTGCTGGGCTGGGGACTGGGTTAGCTGGGCTGGGGACTGGGTTAGCTGGGCTGGGGACTGGGTTAGCTGGGCTGGGGACTGGTGTAGCTGGGGCGAAGGAGGTGGAGGGTCTTGAAACATCACTTTTGGGGTCCCCTGTAGTTCTGGGTCTCTGTGGTTGGTTTCAGTGGATGGCTTCTCCATGGAACTGCTATTTAACACAGGTTCCTCTGGCGGAATGGGGCCTGGATGGAGAGAGAGAGAGAGACAAACACAACTACTCACTGACTGACTGGCATGGAACACACCTGTATGCTCACACAACCTGTATGTTCACACAACCTGCATGCTCACACAACCTGTATGCTCACACACAACCTGTATGCTCACACACAACCTGCATGCTCACACACAACCTGCATGCTCACAAACAACCTGCATGCTCACACACAACCTGCATGCTCACACAACCTGTATGCTCACACACAACCTGTATGCTCACACACAACCTGCATGTTCACACAACCTGCATGTTCACACACAACCTGCATGCTCACACACAACCTGCATGCTCACACACAACCTGCATGCTCACACAACCTGTATGCTCACACACAACCTGCATGCTCACAAACAACCTGCATGCTCACACACAACCTGCATGCTCACACAACCTGTATGCTCACACACAACCTGTATGCTCACACACAACCTGCATGTTCACACAACCTGCATGTTCACACACAACCTGCATGCTCACACACAACCTGTATGCTCACACAACCTGCATGCTCACACAACCTGCATGCTCACACACAACCTGCATGCTCACACAACCTTCATGCTCACACACAACCTGCATGCTCACACACAACCTGCATGCTCACACACAACCTGCATGCTCACACACAACCTGCATGCTCACACACAACCTGCATGCTCACACACAACCTGTATGCTCACACACAACCTGTATGCTCACACACAACCTGCATGCTCACACACAACCTGCATGCTCACACAACCTGCATGCTCACACACAACCTGCATGCTCACACAACCTGCATGCTCACACACAACCTGCATGCTCACACACAACCTGCATGCTCACACACAACCTGTATGCTCACACACAACCTGCATGCTAACACACAACCTGCATGCTCACACACAACCTGCATGCTCACACACAACCTTGAGACAGGAGATACACACTTTTAGAACAGTTCCAAACAGTGAGATATAAATCTATGTAAACCTTTATAAACCTGTCAAGCCATCTGTGTCCTCCCCTACACTGAGATCAGATCAGAACAGCCTCTACATTAGAACATGACTGATAGAGCATGAGGCTATCTGACTCTAGCTATCTGTCTCTAGGGATGCGTCCCAAATGAAACCCTATTGCCTACTAGGGCTCTGCCTCTGGTCTAAAGTAGTGCACTACATAGAGAATAGGGTGCCATTTGGGCCGTAGCCTAAACCTTCAGAGAGAGCGGAGATCAGGGGACTAGACTAGCCTATCCATCACAGGGTGAGCTAAAACTACTCTGAAACACATCAATAGACCCAATTGATTGATCTCTCTAAGATCTTGCAGATATATACGAGATTAGGCGAGAGACGAAGATAGAGAGCTCGAGCTAGGCTCGCGAGATGCTAGATATCGATCCGCGATCGTCGTATCGATATCTAATCTACGATCTATCCTCTCTCGCTATCTCTCTCTCTTCTCTCTCTCTCTCTCTCTCTCTCTCTCTCTCTCTCATCTCTCCCCTCCTCCCTCCCTCCATCCCTCCCCAAGAGGAGAGGCGTGTAGCGGAGGGCTAGAAGGACTACAGGAAGGACAAAACAGGAGGGAAAAAGGGGGTTTTTTTCTTGTGAAAAGGAGGTGGAGGAGTTGGAGGAGGAGGTGAAGAGGAGGTGGAGGAGTTGGAGGAGGAGGTGGAGAGGAGGTGGAGGAGGTGGAGGAGGAGGTGGAGAGGAGGTGGAGGAGTTGGAGGAGGAGGTGGAGAGGAGGTGGAGGAGTTGGAGGAGGAGGTGGAGAGGAGTCATTCAGGCCAACATGAAATTGGTGACTGCTAAACAGGAGTGACTACTAAACAGGAGTGACTGCTAAACAGGAGAAGTATTTGCAGGATGAAAAGGGACACTAGGCCTGGGGGGGTAAGCAGCAGGTGGTGGTTGATTTGGGGATGAAGGAGAGATGAAGGAGGGAGAGATATGTACCTGTCTCGTCTTTCTGTTGGGGCTCAGGAGCTGAGAGTTTCCCCTCCACCATACCAGAACCCTGCTGGTTCTCCTGCTCCTCTTCCTCCTCCTCTTCCTCCTTGTCCTCTGATTCAGTGGAAGGTGTGTCTACGCCCTCCGCTGGTGTGTAGTGGGTTTGTGGTTGGTGCTCAGTGGGAGTGTGTGTCTGTAGTGTGTTCAGTGTCTGGTCCTCTCCTTGGCGAGTGTGTGTCTGTAGTGTGTTCAGTGTCTGGTCCTCTCCTTGGCGAGTGTGTGTCTGTAGTGTGTTCAGTGTCTGGTCCTCTCCTTGGCGAGTGTGTGTCTGTAGTGTGTTCAGTGTCTGGTCCTCTCCTTGGCGAGTGTGTGTCTGGTCCTCTCCTTGGCGAGTGTGTGTCTGTTAGTGTGTTCAGTGTCTGGTCCTCTCCTTGGCGAGTGTTGTTGTCTGTAGTGGTTCAGTGTCTGGTCCTCTCCTTGGCGAGTTGTGGTCTGTAGTGTGTTCAGGTCTGTTGGTTCCTCTCCTGGGTTCAGTGTCTGGTCCTCTCTGTAGTGTGTTCAGTGTCTGGTCCTCTGTGTGTGAGTGGTCTGTGGAGCTCTCAGGGGTATCATGGTGAGGGTCTGTCTCAATGACGTGAACCCCCTGTAAGGTGGCAACATGGCTATCTCCCTCCCCGGTCTCTGTCCTGGTTTCTGCAGCACTACCCCTCCTCTCCTCTTCACGCCTCTCCTCCACCTCTCCTTTCTCTTCTGGGACTCTGTCTGTCTCCTCACCCTGAAAAGTGCTGCCTTCCCTCTCCACCATAGTGAGCGGCTGGGTTAAAACATCCTGGCTGTCAGTCTGGGGGTCAGAAACCACCGACAGGGCTGCGCTGTCACACACCGACCAGTTAGACTCAGACACATGCTCAGAGACACGTTGCGTCAGCCTCTGGAGACAAGCAGCATTACCTTCTGTACGGTCTGACACTGTCCTCTCACTGCTGACCACATCTCTGGCAGTGGGGGAGGAGGGGGCCGTGGGGAAGGTGGGGGCCGTTGGGGAGGTGGGGGCCGTGGGGGAGGTGGGGGCGGTGGGGGAGGTGGGGGCCGTTGGGGAGGTGGGGGCCGTTGGGGAGGTGGGGGCCGTGGGGGAGGTGGGGGCCGTTGGGGAGGTGGGGGCCGTTGGGGAGGTGGGGGAGGTGGGGAAGGTGGGGGCCGTTGGGGAGGTGGGGGGCCGTTGGGGAGGTGGGGAAGGTGGGGGCCGTTGGGGAGGTGGGGGCCGTTGGGGCCGTTGGGGAGGTGGGGGCCGTGGGGAAGGTAGGGGCCGTTGGGGAGGTGGGGGCCGTTGGGGAGGTGGGGGCCGTTGGGGAGGTAGGGGCCGTTGGGGAGGTGGGGGCCGTTGGGGAGGTGGGGGCCGTTGGGGAGGTGGGGGCCGTTGGGGAGGTGGGGGCCGTTGGGGAGGTGGGGGCCGTTGGGGTGAGGATGACAGGGAAAAAAAACGCGTCGTTGTTCAGGTTCTCCTCGATGAGTCTGGAACACACCATGGACTGGGAGCAAGTGCTGCTGTTCACTGGAGCCTGAAAGGGCTGTGCGGGGATTGCTTTGGGGGGGTGTTGCGTTGGGTGTATAACTTTAAGGGGTGTGTATTGGGGGGGGTGTTGCGTTGGGTGTATAACTTTAAGGGGTGTGTATTGGGGGGGGTGTTGGGTTGTAGTGCGGGGCTTGTTTAGCTTTCTGTAGTTGAGGCTGATAGACTGTGTTAAGGATCCTTTCTGAGGAGAGAAGCGTGGTAGAGAGATCTCTTCTAGTTCAACATACTCTCCCTCTGTGTCCGAGTCCTCTCCTGTTGTGATGTCAAAACCTTTTCTACTGTTACTGGTCTCGATAGGCTGTCTCAACTGTGGGTGGAGCCTCACCTCCTTACTCTCTCCACATCGGGCCTTGGATGTGTCAATCGAAATGCATCTGGCCCTATCCGAAGGCTTGATGGCCTCCTGTTCCCTCCCCCCGTCCCTTTCTCCCTTGGTAGGGACCCTAATAGGGGCTGACTCTACGGCTTTGGGTCTGTTAATGAACTGAGGATGTACCACATCCTCCCAGGGTACTCTGAAGATGTCGTCGTCGGCAGACAGGAGGCAGTGGGACAGTGTCCTCCCCGACCCTGTCCCAGACCTTGTCCCCGACCCTGTCCCAGACCTTGTCCCCGTCCCTGCTCCGCTCCGCTCCCTGTTGACTGTGAAGAAAACGTTTTCTGTTGGACGTAAAATACTGTACAAACACCAACAAATCAGCTCCTAGTGATTTTAATTTTGGAAATTTGTTCCAAAGTAATCCCACGCATAATAGAGACATACAGTGCCTTCGGAAAGTATTCAGACCCCTTGACTTTTTCCACATTTTGTTACGTTACAGCCTTATTATAAAATTAATTAAATAGTTTTTTTTCCCCCCTCATCAATCTACACACAATACCCCATAATGACAAAGCAAAAACAGGTTTTTGGAAATGTGACATTTACATAAGTATTCAGGTCTCTCCAGGGATGTTCGATCGGGTTTAAGTCCGGGCTCTGGCTGGGCCACTCAAGGACATTCAGAGACTTGTCCCGAAGCCACTCCTGCGTTGTCTTGGCTGTGTGCTTAGGGTCGTTTTCCTGTTGGAAGGTGAACCTTCGCCCCAGTCTGAGGTACTGAGCGCTCTGGAGCAGGTTTTCATCAAGGATCTCTCTTTACATTGCTCCGTTCATCTTTGCCTCAATCCTGACTAATCTCCCAGTCCCTGCCGGAAAAACATCCCCACAGCATGATGCTGCCACTACCATGCTTCACCGTAGGGATGGTGGCAAGTTTCCTCCAGACGTGACGCTTGGCATTCAGGCCGAAGAGTTCGATCTTGGTTTCATCAGACCAGAGAATCTTGTTACTCATGGTCAGAGTCTTTAGGTGCCTTTTGGCAAACTCCAAGCGGGCTGTCATGTGCCTTTTACTGAGGAGTGGCTTCCGTCTGGCCACTCTACCATAAAGGCCTAATTGGTGGAGTGCTGCAGAGATGGTTGTCCTTCTGGAAGGTTCTCCCATCTCCACAGAGGAACTCTAGAGCTCTGTCAGAGTGACCATCGGGTTCTTGGTCACCTCCCTGACCAAGGCCCTTCTACCCCGATTGCTCAGTTTGGCCGGGCAGCCAGCTCTAGGAAGAGTCTTGGTAGTTCCAAACTTCTTCCATTTAAGAATGATGGAGGCCACTGTGTTCTTGGGGACCTTCAATGCTGCCGAAATGTTTTGGTACCCTTCCCCAGATCTGTCTCTGAGCTTTACGGACAATTCCGTCAACCTCATGGCTTGGTTTTTGCTCTGACATGCACTGTCAACTGTGGGACCTTATATAGACAGGTGTGTGCCTTTCCAAATCATGTCCAATCAATTGAACTTACCACAGGTGGACACAAATCAAGTTGTATAAACATCTCAAGGATGATTATTGGAAACAGGATAGGCCTGAGCTCAATTTCGAGTCTCATAGCAAAGGGTCTGAATACTTATGTAATCTACATTTACATTACATTTTAGTCATTTAGCAGACGCTCTTATCCAGAGCGACTTACAGTTAGTGCATACATTTTTATTTTTTATACTGGAATCGAACCCACAACCCTGGCGTTGCAAACGCCATGCTCTACCAACTGAGCTACATCCCTGCCGGCCATTCCCTCCCCTACCCTGGACGACGCTGGGCCAATTGTGCGCCGCCCCATTGGTCTCCCGGATCTAGCTGATGATCCGTGCATTAACCCCGCCAATAAACACACCCACACGTTGGAGGAGCTGGAGCAGAGGGCAGTTACGTGCAGTGTCCAATAAGAGCAGTTTACCTGAGTGGAGCCAGGCCATGGTGAACAGAGAGGTGTAGGCTAGCTCTGGTACCGCTAGCCCCTCTACATGCTGCCCACTGGGGGCCAGACAACGCAGGATGATACAGGGTGGGCTGGGGGGAGAGAGAGAGAGACAGAGACAGAGACAGAGAGAGAGAGAGAGAGAGAGAGAGAGAGAGACCTGGTTGGGCTGGGTGGTATATCATATTTTACTATATACCGGTATTGATCCAAGGACCGGTTTGGGTTTTTACTTTACCTTCTATAACGGTATGTTTGGTTTGTTAAATATGATACACCATTCCGCTTGTATAGTTTACTCGCTACTTGAGTTGACTCTCTCACCAAGCCCCGCCCCCTGTCACACAAGGAGCGCAGTTGTTGGTGAATGGTCAATGCAGCAGATGCAACAATATGATGACAACGATGCAGCTTTCCACTTTGCTTCTTAATATAAATCCACAAGCGTTCTATAATTACACTATTAGTTTGTGTATCTAACTGTCTGTGTATAACTGTCTGTGTATAACTGTCTGTATCTAACTGTGTAGCTAACTGTCTGTGTAGCTTACTGTCTGTGTAGCTAACTGTCTGTGTAGCTAACTGTCTGTGTAGCTAACTGTCTGTGTAGCTAACTGTCTGCTAACTACTGTCTGCTAGTTTGTCTTTTCTTAGCAAGTTGCAAAAATAAATCTTGTTAGCCGCTAATGCTAATCGCTATTTAGCTGGTTAGCTAGCTAATACATGTACAGAGTCAGAGTAAACATAGTTAGCCTAGCTAATACATGTACAGAGTCAGAGTAAACATAGCTAGCCTAGCTAATACATGTACAGAGTCAGAGTAAACATAGTTAGCCTAGCTAATACATGTACAGAGTCAGAGTAAACATAGCTAGCCTAGCTAATACATGTACAGAGTCAGAGTAAACATAGTTAGCCTAGCTAATACATGTACAGAGTCAGAGTAAACATAGCTAGCCTAGCTAATACATGTACAGAGTCAGAGTAAACATAGCTAGTCTAGCTAATACATGTACAGAGTCAGAGTAAACATAGCTAGTCTAGCTAATACATGTACAGAGTCAGAGTAAACATAGCTAGCCTAGCTAATACATGTACAGAGTCAGAGTAAACATAGCTAGCCTAGCTAATACATGTACAGAGTCAGAGTAAACATAGCTAGTCTAGCTAATACATGTACAGAGTCAGAGTAAACATAGCTAGCCTAGCTAATACATGTACTGAGTCAGAGTAAACATAGCTAGCCTAGCTAATACATGTACAGAGTCAGAGTAAACATAGCTAGCCTAGCTAATACATGTACAGAGTCAGAGTAAACATAGCTAGCCTAGCTAATACATGTACAGAGTCAGAGTAAACATAGCTAGCCTAGCTAATACATGTACTGAGTCAGAGTAAACATAGCTAGCCTAGCTAATACATGTACTGAGTCAGAGTAAACATAGCTAGCCTAGCTAATACATGTACAGAGTCAGAGTAAACATAGCTAGCCTAGCTAATACATGTACTGAGTCAGAGTAAACATAGCTAGCCTAGCTAATACATGTACAGAGTCAGAGTAAACATAGCTAGCCTAGCTAATACATGTACAGAGTCAGAGTAAACATAGCTAGCCTAGCTAATACATGTACAGAGTCAGAGTAAACATAGCTAGCCTAGCTAATACATGTACAGAGTCAGAGTAAACATAGCTAGCCTAGCTAATACATGTACTGAGTCAGAGTAAACATAGCTAGCCTAGCTAATACATGTACAGAGTCAGAGTAAACATAGCTAGCCTAGCTAATACATGTACAGAGTCAGAGTAAACATAGCTAATCTAGCTAATACAGCCTGCTACCAGTGATGGTGTAGCACTAGATCAGCATGTTGTTTGTGCAAAATTATCTTCTAAATCAGGGAGAAATAGGCGATGGATGAACATGTTAGCTACATGAAGTAAGAGAAAAACATTTCATGTAGCCAAAGATTATAGGGTCCCACCCCCTGGGAAAAACTGCCCAACACTTTGGTTCCTACTATTTCACAATAACGCCGCCATAGAGATCCTATTAGTATTCAAATGACTATTTTTTTGCCCACTATTTCACTCTAACAATATAATTAAAAAATGAATTATATATTTATATTATATTATATATGTCCATAATTCCAACCAAGTGTTTTGATCTAAACCCCAGTTAAAATCAGAATGGCAATATCTTGTCAATATTTTGTCATTTCCACTAGTGGCAGTGTGGAAATGATCTCAACTGAGATCAACTTTTGGTTGAACAGTATAAAACAATCAGAATGGAGAAAGACCCGTTTAAATCACTTATAAAGTATGTGTTGCCGCTCTAGGTTCATACACTACTCACAAAGCAAATGTAGAACTTTTATTATATTCAAAAACATAAAATACTGTAAAATATTGGCATACCGTCAAAAATGTGAAAAATATTGTGATATATTTTGTCCATATCGCACAGACCTATACCTTACCCTTACCCATGACCCACAGCAGAGATACGCATAATAAGGTATCACAGGCATGACTAGACAAAGACCTGGTCATATACAGTCAGGTCCATAAATATATTGATTTATTTATTTACATATTGGAGTTGAAATTAAATAATGAATATGAGCTGAGAGTGCAGACTTTCAGCTTTAATTTGAGGGTATTTACATCCAAATGGGGCGGCAGGTAGCTTAGTGGTTAAGAGTGTTGTGCCAGTAACCGAAAGGTCACCGAAAGGTCACTGGTTCTAATCCCCGAGCCGACTTGGTGAAAATCTGTCGATGTGCCATTGAGCAAGGCACTTAACCCTAATTGCTCCTGTAAGTTGCTCTGGATAAGAGCGTCTGCACTTTTTATATGTGGTCCCCCCCTTTATAAGGGACCAAAAGTAATTGGACAATTGGCTGCTCAGCTGTTCCATGGCCAGGTGTGTGATTGGCTGCTCAGCTGTTCCATGGCCAGGTGTGTGATTGGCTGCTCAGCTGTTCCATGGGCAGGTGTGTGATTGGCTGCTCAGCTGTTCCATGGCCAGGTGTGTGATTGGCTGCTCAGCTGTTCCATGGGCAGGTGTGTGATTGGCTGCTCAGCTGTTCCATGGCCAGGTGTGTGATTGGCTGCTCAGCTGTTCCATGGCCAGGTGTGTGATTGGCTGCTCAGCTGTTCCACGGCCAGGTGTGTCATTCCCTCATTAGTTAATTTACAAGGAAGCAGATGAAAGGTCTAGAGTTGATTTCAAGTGTGACATTTGCATTTGGAATCTGTTGCTGTTAACCCTCAATATGAAGTCCAAAGAGCTGCCACTGCCAGTGAAGCAAGCCATCATTAGGCTGAAAAATCTAAACAAACCCATCAGAGAGAAAGCAAAAACATTAGGTGGCCAAATCAACTATTTGGTACATTCTTAAAAAGAAAGAACGCACTGGTGAGCTCAGGAACACCAAAAGGCCCGGAAGACCACGGAAAACAACTGTGGTGAATGACAGAATAATGATTTCCCTGGTGAAGAAAAACCCCCTTCACAACAGTTGGCCAGATCAAGAACACCCTCCAGGAGGTAGGCGTATCTGTGTCAAAAGTCAACAATCAAGAGAAGACTTCACCAGAGTAAATACAGAGGGTTTACCACAAGATGTAAACCATTGGTAAGCCTCAAAAACAGAAAGACCAGATTAGAGTTTGCCAAAAAAACATCAACAACAAAAAAAAAGCCTGTACACTTCTGGAACAACATCCTACGGACAGATGAGACAAAGATCAACTTGTAGCAGAATGAGTATGGAGAAGGGAAGGAACTGCTCATGATCCGAAGCATACCACCTCATCTGTGAAGCACGGTGGAGGTAGTGTTATGGCGTGGGCATGTATGGCTGCCAATGGAACGGGTTCCCTTGTATTTATTGATGATGTGACTGCTGACAAAAGCAGCAGGATGAATTCTGAAGTGTTAAGGGCTGTATTATCTGCTCAGATTCAGCCAAAACGCTTCAAAACCCATTGGACGGCGCTTCACAGTGCAGATGGACAATGACCCGAAGCATTCTGCGAAAGCAACCCGATACTTTTCTAAGGCAAAGAAGTAGAATGTTCTGCAATGGCCAAGTCAATCACCTGACCTGAATCCAATTGAGCATTTCACTTGCTGAAGGCAAAACGCCCCAAGAACAAGCAGGAACTGAAGACAGCTGCAGTAAAGGCCTGGCAGAGCATCACCAGGGAAGAAACCCAGCATCTGGTGATGTCTATGGGTTCCAGACTTCAGGCAGTCATTGACTGCAAAGGATTTGCAACCAAGTATTAAAACTCACAATTTAAGGTATGATTATGTGAGTTTGTCCAATTACTTTTGAGCCCCTAAATTGAGGGGCTATGTATAAAAATTGTTGTAATTCCTACACGGTTCAGACAATAATATTTGACAAAACCCTTAAATTAAAGACGAAAGTCTACACTTAAAGCACATCTTGATGGTTTCCTTTCAAATCCGTTGCGGTGGCGTACAGAGACAAAATGATGCAAAATTGTGTCACTGTCCAAATACTTATGGCTAACTGTATACTGAACAAAAGTATAAACGCAACATGCAACAATTTCAAAGATTTTACTGAGTTACAGTTCATATAAGGATATCAGTTAATTGAAATAAATTCATTAGGCCCTAATCTATGGATTTCACATGACTGGGAATACAGATATGCATCTGTTGGTCACAGATACCTTAAAAAAAGGTAGGGCGTGAATCAGAAAGCCAGTCAGTATCTGGTGCGACCACCATTTGCCTCATGCAGCGTGACACATCTCCTTCGCATAGAGTTGATCAGGCTGTTGATTGTGGCCTGTGGAATGTTGTCCCACTCCTCTTCAATGGCTGTGTGACGTTGCTGGATATTGTCAGGAACTGGAACACGCTGGCATACACGTCGATCCAGAGCATCCCAAACATGCTCAATGGGTGACATGTCTGGTGAGTATGCAGGCCATGGAAGAACTGGGACATTTTCAGCTTCCAAGAATTGTGTACAGATCCTTGCAACATGGGGCCGTGCATTATCATGCTGAAACATGAGGTGATGGCAGCGGATGAATGGCACGACAGTGGGTCTCAGGATCTAGTCACGGTATCTCTGCATTCAAATTGCCATCGATAAAATGCAATTGTGTTCGTTGTCTGTAGCTTATGCCTGCCCATACCATAACCCCACCGCCACCATGGGGCACTCTGTTCACAACGTTGACATCAGCAAACCGCTCGCCCACACAACGCCATACACGTGGTCTGCGGTTGTGAGGCCGGTTGGAGGTAGGGCCAAATTCTCTAAAACGACATTGGAGGCGGCTTATGGTCAAGAAATTAACATTCAATTCTCTGGAAATAGCTCTGGTGGACATTCCTGCAGTCCGCATGCCAATTGCACGATCCCTCAAAACTTGAGACATCTGTGGCATTTTGTTGTGTGACAAAACTGCACATTTTAGATTGGCCTTTTATTGTCCCCAGCACAAGGTGCACTTGTGTAATGATCATGCTGTTTAATCAGCTTCTTGATATGCCACACCTGTCAGGTGGATGGATTATCTTGGCAAAGGAGAAATGCTCACTAACAGGGATGTAAACAGAACTGTGCACAACATTTGAGAGAAATAAGCTTTTTGTGCGTATGGAACATTTCTGGGATCTTTTATTTCAGCTCATGAAACATGGGACCTACACTTGACATGTTGGGTTTATATTTTTGTTCAGTGTAGAATGAGAGAGAAAGAAAGGGCTGAGAGACAGAGAGAGATTAGAATGACAGGAGATGTCTCACCTGGGGGTCTTGGTGGAGGAGGGGATGGAGCTGGGGGAGACGGAGGGTGAGGGGGATGCCACCTGAATCAATACATTCATTCATCAATTTTAGTAGACATATTCAAAATACATATTAAAAGGTGTCTCTGCCATTTGAATACAACAATACACACATTAAAAATACACTGAGGATAGAAATGCAATAAAGTCTTCATTTCCGTTGTGTTCTGCTGTGGTTATATTCAGGTGGGGCAGAGAGAATGGACAGCTTGGGCAAGACTGGCTGGGCATTAGCTACTTCACATTCAATACAATAACTGGTGGCCTAGAATGGTCTAGAATGGCCTAGGGTGGTCAGGGGTCTAGGGTGGTCAGGGGTCTAGGGTGGTCTAGGGTGGTCAGGGGTCTAGGGTGGTTAGGGGTCTAGGGTGGTCTAGGGTGGTCAGGGGTCTAGGGTGGTCAGGGGTCTAGGGTGGTCTAGGGTCTAGGGTGGTCAGGGGTCTAGGGTGGTCTAGGGGTCTAGGGTGGTCTAGGGTGGTCAGGGGTCTAGGGTGGTCTAGGGGTCTAGGGTAGTCAGGGGTCTAGGGTGGTCAGGGGTCTAGGGGTCTAGGTGGTCAGGGGTCTAGGGTGGTCTAGGGGTCTAGGGGTCTAGGGTGGTCAGGGGTCTAGGGGTGTTGGTCTAGGGGTCTAGGGGTCCTAGGGTGGTCAGGGTCTAGGGTGGTCTAGGGGTCTAGGGTGGTCAGGGGTCTAGGGTGGTCAGGGGGTCTAGGGTGGTCAGGGGTCTAGGGTGGTCTAGGGGTCTAGGGTGTCAGGGGTCTAGGGTGGTCAGGGGTCTAGGGTGGTCTAGGGTCTAGGGTGGTCTAGGGGGTCTAGGGTGGTCTAGGGGTCTAGGGTGGTCAGGGGTCTAGGTGGTGGTCAGGGTGTCTAAGGGGTCTAGGGGTGGTCTAGGGGTCTAGGGTGGTCTAGGGGGCTAGGGTGGTCAGGGGTCTATGGTGGTCAGGGGTCTAGGTTTCTAGGGGTCTAGGGTGGTCCAGGGGTCTAGGGTGGTCAGGGGTCTAGGGGTCTAGGGTGGTCAGGGGTCTAGGGTGGTCAGGGGTCTAGGGTGGTCTAGGGGTCTAGGGTGGTCTAGGGGTCTAGGGTGGTCTAGGGGTCTAGGGTGGTCAGGGGTCTAAGCCACATGTCTACAGTGTCGGTAGGTTCTAATCTGTTCTTTAACACAACCTCTCTCCATCTGTTCAATAAAGTCAGAAAAGATCCCCACTGTATTCCTCTCTCTAAGACCATGAAATATATATTTTTTACAGATTACCTGTAGGTAGAAGTCCCCGGGGCGGAGGATGCGTGGGTCCAGAGGAGAGAGCTGGATGATCACCTTGTCATGGATACACAGAGGCCAGCCCTGGTGACGGAATAACAGACCAGAGTACGGGGACTATAGGAGAGAGTGAGAGATGGAGAAGGAGAGGGAGTAAATCAATCATTCCTTTGCCAACAAGTAGAGTTCGATGAGTGGCAGAGAGAGAGAGATGGGTGAAGACATTTTAGGAAATCCTTTTACTGCTAAAATGTAAAGTGATTTCCGCTCAGAGGTCGTCTTTCAGCCCGGGCAGCCGCACACCGGAAAACAAATCAGCCGATACCTCCCTCCCTCCCTCCCCCTCCCTCTCTCCCTCCCTCCCTCTCTCTCTCCCTCCTTTCCCATTCCAGAGCCCCCCAATCCTCTCCACTCTAAATGACTTGAGGGATTCTGTGATGCTCCCTGATAGCGCTGAGAGACACAGACCCCTGCTCTGTCTGTCTGCCAGTCTTCCTCCCGATGAGGGAGAGACAGAACAGGAGAGCAGGAGAGGACTGAGCTCCTGTTTCTCTCCTCCTTTTACTGTTCTCACTCTCATTTGATCTCCTTTTATCTGTCAATCACTCTCTCTCTCTCTTTAATGTGTTAGAAGTTTTTCCTCTTGAGTCACTAATTGAGGTGCTCTCCCGCTCTCTAATACTCTGAGTCACCTAAATGACATGTTTCCCCCCATTTACTGTTAGTCATCCAGGTGGTGAACCGTCCTCTCTCATTTCACCGCTCTCTCTGATCTCCCTTTCATTCTGTACAGCCTAGTCTTGTCTGGTCATGTATGTGATACCTAGCTCAAACCAAGAGGAGAAAGGCTGTAGTCACCAAGCCAGTCAAACCAGGAGGAGACTGTAGTCACCAAGCCAGTCAAACCAAGAGGAGGAAGGCTGTAGTCACCAAGCCAGTCAAACCAGGAGGAGGAAGACTGTAGTCACCAAGCCAGTCAAACCAGGAGGAGGAAGACTGTAGTCACCAAGCCAGTCAAACCAGGAGGAGGAAGGCTGTAGTCACCAAGCCATTCAAACCAGGAGGAGGAAGGCTGTAGTCACCAAGCCAGTCAAACCAGGAGGAGGAAGGCTGTAGTCACCAAGCCAGTCAAACCAGGAGGAGGAAGGCTGTAGTCACCAAGCCAGTCAAACCAGGAGGAGGAAGGCTGTAGTCACCAAGCCAGTCAAACCAGGAGGAGGAAGGCTGTAGTCACCAAGCCAGTCAAACCAGGAGGAGGAAGACTGTAGTCACCAAGCCAGTCAAACCAGGAGGAGGAAGACTGTAGTCACCAAGCCAGTCAAACCAGGAGGAGAAAGACTGTAGTCACCAAGCCAGTCAAACCAAGAGGAGGAAGGCTGTAGTCACCAAGCCAGTCAAACCAAGAGGAGGAAGACTGTAGTCACCAAGCCAGTCAAACCAGGAGGAGGAAGACTGTAGTCACCAAGCCAGTCAAACCAAGAGGAGGAAGACTGTAGTCACCAAGCCAGTCAAACCAGGAGGAGGAAGACTGTAGTCACCAAGCCAGTCAAACCAAGAGGAGGAAGACTGTAGTCACCAAGCCAGTCAAACCAAGAGGAGGAAGACTGTAGTCACCAAGCCAGTCAAACCAAGAGGAGGAAGACTGTAGTCACCAAGCCACAGTCAAACCAAGAGGAGGAAGACTGTAGTCACCAAGCCAGTCAAACCAAGAGGAGGAAGACTGTAGTCACCAAGCCAGTCAAACCAGGAGGAGGAAGGCTGTAGTCACCAAGCCAGTCAAACCAGGAGGAGGAAGACTGTAGTCACCAAGCCAGTCAAACCAAGAGGAGAAAGACTGTAGTCACCAAGCCAGTCAAACCAGGAGGAGGAAGACTGTAGTCACCAAGCCAGTCAAACCAAGAGGAGGAAGGCTGTAGTCACCAAGCCAGTCAAACCAGGAGGAGGAAGGCTGTAGTCACCAAGCCAGTCAAACCAAGAGGAGGAAGACTGTAGTCACCAAGCCAGTCAAACCAGGAGGAGGAAGACTGTAGTCACCAAGCCAGTCAAACCAAGAGGAGGAAGGCTGTAGTCACCAAGCCAGTCAAACCAGGAGGAGGAAGACTGTAGTCACCAAGCCAGTCAAACCAAGAGGAGAAAGGCTGTAGTCACCAAGCCAGTCAAACCAGGAGGAGGAAGACTGTAGTCACCAAGCCAGTCAAACCAAGAGGAGGAAGACTGTAGTCACCAAGCCAGTCAAACCAGGAGGAGGAAGGCTGTAGTCACCAAGCCAGTCAAACCAAGAGGAGGAAGACTGTAGTCACCAAGCCAGTCAAACCAGGAGGAGGAAGGCTGTAGTCACCAAGCCAGTCAAACCAAGAGGAGGAAGACTGTAGTCACCAAGCCAGTCAAACCAAGAGGAGGAAGACTGTAGTCACCAAGCCAGTCAAACCAAGAGGAGGAAGACTGTAGTCACCAAGCCAGTCAAACCAGGAGGAGGAAGGCTGTAGTCACCAAGCCAGTCAAACCAAGAGGAGGAAGACTGTAGTCACCAAGCCAGTCAAACCAGGAGGAGGAAGGCTGTAGTCACCAAGCCAGTCAAACCAAGAGGAGGAAGACTGTAGTCACCAAGCCAGTCAAACCAGGAGGAGGAAGGCTGTAGTCACCAAGCCAGTCAAACCAAGAGGAGGAAGACTGTAGTCACCAAGCCAGTCAAACCAGGAGGAGAAAGGCTGTAGTCACCAAGCCAGTCAAACCAAGAGGAGGAAGGCTGTAGTCACCAAGCCAGTCAAACCAGGAGGAGAAAGGCTGTAGTCACCAAGCCAGTCAAACCAAGAGGAGGAAGACTGTAGTCACCAAGCCAGTCAAACCAAGAGGAGGAAGACTGTAGTCACCAAGCCAGTCAAACCAGGAGGAGGAAGGCTGTAGTCACCAAGCCAGTCAAACCAGGAGGAGGAAGACTTTAGTCACCAAGCCAGTCAAACCAGGAGGAGGAAGACTGTAGTCACCAAGCCAGTCAAACCAGGAGGAGGAAGGCTGTAGTCACCAAGCCAGTCAAACCAGGAGGAGGAAGACTGTAGTCACCAAGCCAGTCAAACCAGGAGGAGGAAGGCTGTAGTCACCAAGCCAGTCAAACCAAGAGGAGGAAGACTGTAGTCACCAAGCCAGTCAAACCAGGAGGAGAAAGGCTGTAGTCACCAAGCCAGTCAAACCAGGAGGAGGAAGGCTGTAGTCACCAACCCAGTCAAACCAAGAGGAGGAAGGCTGTAGTCACCAAGCCAGTCAAACCAGGAGGAGGAAGGCTGTAGTCACCAAGCCAGTCAAACCAGGAGGAGGAAGACTGTAGTCACCAAGCCAGTCAAACCAGGGGAGGAAGGCTGTAGTCACCAAGCCAGTCAAACCAGGAGGAGGAAGGCTGTAGTCACCAAGCCAGTCAAACCAGGAGGAGGAAGACTGTAGTCACCAAGCCAGTCAAACCAAGAGGAGAAAGGCTGTAGTCACCAAGCCAGTCAAACCAGGAGGAGGAAGACTGTAGTCACCAAGCCAGTCAAACCAAGAGGAGGAAGACTGTAGTCACCAAGCCAGTCAAACCAGGAGGAGGAAGGCTGTAGTCACCAAGCCAGTCAAACCAAGAGGAGGAAGGCTGTAGTCACCAAGCCAGTCAAACCAGGAGGAGGAAGACTGTAGTCACCAAGCCAGTCAAACCAAGAGGAGAAAGGCTGTAGTCACCAAGCCAGTCAAACCAAGAGGAGGAAGACTGTAGTCACCAAGCCAGTCAAACCAGGAGGAGGAAGGCTGTAGTCACCAAGCCAGTCAAACCAAGAGGAGGAAGACTGTAGTCACCAAGCCAGTCAAACCAGGAGGAGGAAGGCTGTAGTCACCAAGCCAGTCAAACCAGGAGGAGGAAGGCTGTAGTCACCAAGCCAGTCAAACCAGGAGGAGGAAGGCTGTAGTCACCAAGCCAGTCAAACCAGGAGGAGGAAGGCTGTAGTCACCAAGCCAGTCAAACCAGGAGGAGGAAGGCTGTGTTATTATGGTTAGTGCTTCTTGTTTTGGTTATATAACAAGCCAGACCTCCCAAATGAAACGTCCTTTCATCACTCCAGCTGATGTTTGCCAGCCAACCCCCCCCATCCTCCTCTCTGCCCTCCGTTAAGTAGAAAGGTTCTCATGCTACCCATCATCCTCTCTGCCCTCCGTTAAGTAGAAAGGTTCTCATGCTACCCATCATCCTCCACTTTAGCCACAGTTCCCCTAGTTTCAACACTTCAAGGTGATGACACACACACACACCACACACACACACACACACACACACACACACACACATTCTCATGTGGAAGATATGTATATTCCCCTCCTTGACCCTGGGAGGATCTACTCCAACACCGTAGCTATACAGAGCTCCTGGTGTGTTGTCAGAATGGAACACAACACTGTACCAATACAGAGCTCCTGGTGTGTTGTCAGAATGGAACACAACACTGTACCAATACAGAGCTCCTGGTGTGTTGTCAGAATGGAACACAACACTGTACCAATACAGAACTCCTGGGTGTTGTCAGAATGGAACACAACACTGTACCAATACAGAGCTCCTGGTGTGTTGTCAGAATGGAACACAACACGGTTACCAATACAGAGCTCCTGGTGTGTTGTCAGAATGGAACACAACACTGTACCAATACAGAGCTCCTGGTGTGTTGTCAGAATGGAACACAACACTGTACCAATACAGAGCTCCTGGTGTGTTGTCAGAATGGAACACAACACTGTACCAATACAGAGCTCCTGGTGTGTTGTCAGAATGGAACACAACACTGTACCAATACAGAGCTCCTGGTGTGTTGTCAGAATGGAAACACACACTGTACCAATACAGAGCTCCTGGTGTGTTGTCAGAATGGAAGACAACACTGTACCAATACAGAGCTCCTGGTGTGTTGTCAGAATGGAACACAACACTGTACCAATACAGAGCTCCTGGTGGTGGTTGTAGAATGGAACACAACACTGTACCAATACAGAGCTCCTGGTGTGTTGTCAGAATGGAACACAACACTGTACCAATACAGAGCTCCTGGTGTGTTGTCAGAATGGAACACAACACTGTACCAATACAGAGCTCCTGGTGTGTTGTCAGAATGGAACACAACACTGTACCAATACAGAGCTCCTGGTGTGTTGTCAGAATGGAACACAACACTGTACCAATACAGAGCTCCTGGTGTGTTGTCAGAATGGAACACAACACTGTACCAATACAGAGCTCCTGGTGTGTTGTCAGAATGGAACACAACAGTAGACAGATACCCAGCCACATGAAACACTGTGGTTTAAACACACTGTAACAACAGCAGAAAGAGGGTACCTTCAAACTACTGCTGTCTGTCCTCACTGTCCCCCTCACTGTGCCCCTCACTGTTCCGATCTCTCTGTACTCACTGTGACCCTCACTGTGTCCCTCACTGTTCCGATCTCTCTGTACTCACTGTCCCTCACTGTGTTGATATTTCTGTACTCACTGTCCTTCACGTTGTCCCTCACTTTTCCGCTCTCTCTGTCCTCACTGTGTCCTTCACTGTGTCCCTCACTGTCCCGCACTGTGTCCCTCACTATTCCGATCTCTCCGTCCTCACTGTCCCTCACTGTGTCCCTCACTATTCCGATCTCTCTGTCCTCACTGTCCCACTCTCTCTGTTCTCACTGTGTCCCTCACTGTTCCGATCTCTCCGTCCTCACTGTCCCTCACTGTGTCCCTCACTATTCCGATCTCTCTGTCCTCACTGTCCCACTCTCTCTGTTCTCACTGTGTCCCTCACTGTCTGTCCCAGTTCAGAAAACAGTTCTGTCATCACCAAGCTTTCTATCAGGTTGGGGACACAAACACTAAGGCAGCATCCCAAACGGCACACTAGTCTCCATGTACAGAGCTTTCTGGAAGTATTCAGACCCCTTCCCTTTTTCCACATTTTGTTACAGTCTTATTCTAAAATTGATTCAAATTTCTTTTTTCCCTCATCAATCTACACACAATACACTATAATGACAAAGCAAAAACAGGTTTTTAGACATTTTAGCAAATGTATTGCAAATAAAAAACAGAAATACATTATTTACATAAGTATTCAGACCCTTTGCTATGAGACTTGAAATTTAGCTCAGGTGCATCCTGTTTCCATTGATCATCCTTGAGATGTTTCTACAACTTGGAGTTCACCTGTGGTAAATTCAATTGATTGGATATGATTTGGAAAGACACACACCTGTCTATATAAGGTCCCACAGTTGACAGTGCATGAGCCAAGCCATGAGGTCTAAGGAATTGTCCGTATAGCTCCGAAACAGGATTGTGTCGAGGCACTGATCTGGGGAAGGGTACCAAAACATTTCTGCAGCATTGAAGGTCCCCAAGAACACAGTGGCCTCCATCATTCTTAAAATGGAAGAAGTTTGGAACAACCAAAACTCTTCCTAGAGCTGGCCGCCCGGCCAAACGAAGCAATCGGGGGAAAAGGGCCTTGGTCAGGGA